AGATTGCAAAGAAATTCAATCTAGTAGAGATAGGAAAATTCCCTACTACACTACTATTAAGTAAAGACATTAAAAAGAGCACTAGAGAAGCCACTAAAAAGGAGATTAAGGACTATTAGGAGCGCGTTAGATTAATCCTTTACACCTTAATTATAGTGCGCCCTAATATTGCCTATATAGCCTCCTAGCTCTCCTAATACCTTACTAACCTATCTAAACAACACTTTAATGTGGTTAATTAAGTAATTGTCTATCTATACTAAACTTAATACTAATTAATCTAATATAGGAATAAGGATCCTAATAAGCTTATAATATATAGTAATGCGTTATTTGCTAATAATATTAATACTTAGCGATTATTATATAGATACCTAATTACGCTCTTTAGAGGACCTATTATTTAGAAGGCAGCTTAACAATTAACTGTTACTACTTTAACTACTAAGGTAGAGCTCCTTGCGCTTAAGCAAGTAAGTAAAGAAGTAATAGCGTTAAAACGCTTTTTAACTAAAATACACCTTACTTTAGATACTACCTAGATAATTAATTATAATAATTAATAAACTATTAGGTTAGTAGTAGGTAATAATAAAAGGATTACTACTAAGCTGCGCTATGTAGATATTTAAAACATATAGCTTAGGTAAGAGTATATAAAGGGATCTTTCTATATTACCTACCTACCTACTAGCGATATACTAGCTAATAGGCTTACTAAAAACCTAATAGCATAATAATTTATAAGGTTTAGGGAGCACCTAAAGTTATATAATAGTAGAGTATATATTATATAGTGTTAATTAAAGTAAGGTAGTATATAAGATCTATTAATATATAATATAAAAATAACTAACTATAGCCTACCTCTCTATTATTAACTAGGTAGCTTCCCTAAGGAGCTCTATCACGCGCGCAAAGCGTGCCTTAGAGTCTATAGGGGGCCACCTAGGTTACCCTATCCTAGGATCTATAGGGGGAACCTTAGAGGAGCTAGAGTCCTTATCTTCTAATAAGGAGCTCTAGGCGCCCTTAGCTATAGAAGCAGCCTTGCGCGTAAGCTTAGTAGCAGTAGCAGCAGCTTTTACTAGCTCCTGCTATTTAGCCTTGCTCTCCTTAAGGAGCACTAAGACCCTTCGCTTCTTATCCTTAAGAAGGTCTTAGCTCTTACCTGCCTGCTTCCTTACTAGGAAGGACAGCGTAGAATATTAGGCAAGCTTAGGGCTATTAGTTTATTAGTATAAGATCTTGCTAAAAGTATTATAAAGGAAAAATTCTTATATAGATTATATATATTAGGATATAGCTATACCTAGAGAAGTACTACTAGCACTAAGTCCCCCTACTAGAAGAGTTATAGCACTTGCTATTAGACTTATTAAAGAGCGTAGAGCGTAGATAATTTAGACAAGTTTTAGTATAATAAATACTAGGCTCTCTATAATAAGAGGATCTTAGGGTCTCTTTAGGAGCTAGAGAGGGAGTAGGAGTAGGAGTAGGGATAGGGGGTAGGGTCTAGGGAGGAGCAGGAGCTAGAGTTAGAGCTAGAGTAGTAGGAGCTAGAGTAGGAGCGCCCTTCCTTAGCTTTGCAATCTTAACTATAGTAGTAGTAGCTACGTACTTAGCTACCACACGCTCTGTAATAGCCTTACGCTTAGTAGTAGCGCGCTCTTCTTTAGTAGTAGTAGCTTTAGTAACTATAGCTTTAGCTACGTAGGAGGTAATAAGGGTAGTATAGGTAGAGTAAGTGTAAGTAGTAGTTTTTAACTTTAACTAAGATATAGGTTAGTAAGGATATAAGTATAGTTTAGATCTTTAGGGTTATATAATCTTATAACTTAAGCTATAGTAAAAGATTATAGTTAGGTAGATAGAGTTATAGAGCTTTATCTAGACAATATCTACGCGCGCAAGCGTAGGCTAAATAAGGAAGGCGCGCTAGTTAGTATCTAAAGGGTAAGCTAATTTAACCCTTTAGATATACAACGCTCTAATTAGCTACACTACCTACTAACTATAAGCGCAACTATAATAATAAAAGATCTACCTACACCTAGGGGGTGTGTTATAGGAGGGATATTAACTAGATTATAGAGTATCTTAATCCTAATTAATCCTAATTAATCCTAGTTAATACCCCTGTATAACCTACTATCTAATTAACTACTAGCTTACTACTAAGTACCTAACAAAAAGCAGGAGCTCTAGTAAGGAAGGTTTACTAATTATTCACCTTCTAGTAAGGGTAGCTAAAGCTCTATATATATAAGTCCGATCGTAGTAGATATAATCTAATAATCTATCTCCCAAATTATTCCTAACCTTAGTGATCCAAATTTCCACAAGTATTCTCGTGCGTACCTTTTGGACCATGGCCGAATTAGTACAGACAGGGGAGATGACGTAGTATTCATTTTATAGGCAGGGCGCCTACCTTATTACAGGACTATCCTTTCTCTATAGGAGAGGGTAATATAATAATAGGGTAGAATTGCCTACCTATTATTCTATACTAAGTTAGGCCTAATAAAGGCCTAACTTACTTATATATATAGAGAACAGCTCACCTATAGTTAGGATAGGTATATTCTTCTTGTCCTTTTACACAAGACCTATAGGTGTAGGAATCTTATCCTTTTCTATACAGACGCGCACTCCCATATGCCTTTGAGTCGTATAGGATACCTTTTGGATGCCCTACCTACCTAAGTCGTTACAATAGTTATACTTAAGCCTAGTAGCCTAATAGGAGATAAGATTAATATTATAGCAGTTAATAAAGCGCTATACCTTATTTTTATCTATAGGATTCCCTAATATTTTAGTTATAAAATTTTAAATAATAGTCTATATAGGGGGTAATCCTTATCTATAAAGCTCTTTAATATACTTTATAAGCTTACTTTCTTATATAGTATTAAGTATTTAAGTATTTAGTAGAGTAGTAGTATATATCTACTAAATATTCTAGTAGTATCTAGATAAAGTTAACTATAAGTAACTATACTTTTCTACTATTTCTAAGTATATAAAATCTTCTCTAAGAGTTAAGGATTTAATTACTGCAAGCGCGTTGTTAATAGGTGCTATAGTTATTAAGAAATTTAGTGTTGAAAATTTGGTAATTGTGGTCTTGGTGGGCGCTCGGTGGTGGATCACGTTAACACTTGCCCAAGATGGGTCATGAACTTGCAGGGGTGCTGCGGTAGGGCATAGCAGCTAAGCACGTATACGTCTTAGCGTGGAATCTTGTGTCCGTCTGAGCCCGCTAAGATAAGCACACTGTGCATGTAAGCTGACGTAAAGTGCTGACTCTCATCTTCCCCATAAATTTGGTATGTTACATGATTCCGTGGGGCAGCCTATCGACAGCTCTGCTACCAAAACCCCTTGGTAAATACTCGCACAGGAGGACAAGCAAACGTTTGCGAACAATATTAACTCTGCCTTGTTCAACACGTGGATAACTATTGCAGAGCCCTGCCTTATATGCAACTGTCTGCTAATGTGGAGTTAGGTGTTGGGGCGAATAATCTAGTCTTTCCCTAATTACATACGAGTAGTCGTAGCCGTGTTTATCCTAGGTGATGCTTGTGCTTTTGGGATACAGTCATTGTAGAAGCAATGACAGGATAACATAGGCTTATTACGTTGGCAATCTAGACAAGAAGTTAAGAGGCTGATGGCTGTGAAAAACTTTAGTCATGTTCAATTGTTTTGTCGCAGAGAGAGGTCTACCGAATGGTGCTGCAGAATTTAGTTGAAGATAGGTTTGCCACCGCTTATAAAGCCACAACCTAAAAGACAACTGTTGCAGAAAGGAGAACACTAGCTTGGTCTCGGTCTCATTCTGCTTCCCTAATCTAAATGAGGATCTACAATCTCCTGATCGCCAAACTGGCTAAAGATACGGAGGTGGCTTTCAAAAGTTCTTGCTAGCGTATTTGTTAGCGGCTGATCTATTAGCCTAACTTTCTTAGCCCACATATACTTAATTTTAAAGCTGTAGATAGTACGGAGGTGGCTTTCAAAAGTTCTTGCTAGCGTATTTGTTAGCGGCTGATCTATTAGCCCGACTTTCTTAGCCTACACACACTTAATTTTAAAGCTATAGATAGTAGTAGTAATAGTCTATCTACTTAATCCTTTAGTGTTTTTACTCTACTATAGCTCCTAATACTAATCCCTATACCTATGCGCTTATTATAACTCTAAAGTTACCTTTTAGTAGTAAATCTACTACCTAAATTAGTGCTATTATAGGTATTTTACTACATACTATTAGGAAGGGCGCTTTTAAGAGTAGAGTAGAGGGTATAAAAGCATAGTTAAAGGCTTAGGATAAGCTACCTTAATATTAAATCTAGGCTTAGATAGAGCGTATATAGTATTATATTTAGTAGATTATTAGACTAGAAGGTAATAATAAGTATAAGGAGGGGCGGCGCGATAGAGTAGTCTAAGCTTTGGTGGTATCACGGCGGTAATATAGACACCCCTGTTAGCAAGAACTTTTAAAACCCACCTCCGTACAGTATTATATTTAGTAGATTATTAGACTAGAAGGTAGTAATAAGTATAAGGAGGGGCGGCGCGACAGAGTAGTCTAAGCTTTGGTGGTATCACGGCGGTAATATAGACACCCCTGTCAGCAAGAACTTTTGAAAGCCACCTCCGTAGATCTTAATTCTAATTTATCCTCAACATGAGCCTAGGCCAACATTAAGCATGGGAATGCTTTTCAAGACTAAGCGGATTACTAAGCAATATATATATATATATTAAGGCTTTGTCCTAATAGTTGCAATTCAATACTCTTTCTCCTAGGTGATTCCTAAGCTCCTAATCACCTATTTTCCACGACAACCTACTTCAAACTCACTTGGTTCCTCTATAATTTGATTTCCATGAAGCTCTCTACTTCCCCTGGCATTCTGCTGGCATTGTGCACCTGTGCTGTATATGCCGAATTTAACGAACTTTATTTTCCTCTGGACAACATGTATGGTATACCCTGTGACAAAAATCCAAGCGTTTACTATGTGTGCGTTGTTCTGCTCGAGAATAACTTGCAACACTAATTTCTTGTAGGACAAAAGGTCCCAATCCCAAGACTGGGTATGGATGTGTTTATGCTTGCCCAGCCAAAAGCACGTGCCCAGGTCGATGCCGAAACACATTACATCCTTTTGGACGATGCCCCACAGACACGTATGAAACTCTTCATGAGGTGCTTAAAGTCCTCTGTTCTAACAATTTTATAGAAAAGTCTGCGTGTGTCTGAAAGACTTGCGTTTGTCTTAAACGTCTTGGGCTCTAAAGTTTTGAACTGGAACATGTAACGATTGCAAGCATTTGTTCCAGGTCTTATTAGACTAGCCAACATATCGCCATCCCTAGTGCGACTCTAACTCTAGTTTATAGCCCCTCTGCCTCTAGATATTAAAGAAGTGTTATGCTTGTAGATAGATAGATAAGTTCTTCTTATCCTTTTAAATAAGACCTATAAGCATAGGAATTATATGCTTCTCTATATAGACCAGCACTCCTATATGCCTTTAAGTTACATTAGATACCTTTTAGATACCCTACCTACCTGCGTTACTACACTAATCTACTACTAAACCTCTATCCTATACTATAATATCTTTGTAATCACGCAGGTGCGTAGTGCATCCAAAAGGTATCTAATATAACTTAAAGGCATGTAGGAGTGCGCGCCTATATAGAAAAGAATAAGATTCCTACACCTATAGGTCTTATACAAAAGAACAAGAAGAACTTGTCTATCTATCTATAAGTATAAGGCTCCTTTTATACCTAGAGGTAAAGGGGCCTTAGACTAGGATAGTGTTATAGACTAGCCTAAAGGGAGAATATAATAAGCTTTAATAATAGTATTTAGTATCTTAAAGGAGAGGTAAGCTCTCTACGCCTTTTTATAGGTGTGTAGCGTGTTTGCTTAGTAGTAGTATTAGACTCTGTCTATCTTATATTAGGCCTAGGCTTAGGTATAAGCCTAAGCCCTTTATATACCCCTAATCTTCCCTATAGGCTATTATAAAATTATCTTTTTAGGGGTTTAGGGTTATATCTTTATCCTCTATAATCTATATTAGGCTTTATTAATATACATTTTAGGTTTTAATATTATATCTTTATATTCTGTCCTAATTTATAATAGGCCTATATATAAAGTAGTACAAGTGTGTAGCGTCTATATACTTATTTTAGTACCCTACTATAAAAGTTCTAATATAGCTATCCTAACTTACTATAAACTTCCTAAATATACTTTATTATACTATAGATTTTCCCTACTAATTAGTCTTTTCTCTACTCTTTGTCTATCTATCTAGCCTATATAGCCTCTATTATATCCTTATATACTACTACTAATTATAATAACTTAGGTAGGTAGGGTATCTAAAAGGTATCCTATATAACTTAAAGGCATATAGGATTGCGCGTCTATATAGAAAAGTATAAGATTCCTACACCTATAGGTCTTGTATAAAAGGATAAGAAGAATATGCCTATCCTAACTATAGGCGAGCTATTCTCTATATATATTAGTAAGTTAGGCCTTTATTAGGCCTAACTTAGTATAGAATAATAGGCAGGTAATTCTACCTTATTATTATACTACCCCCTCCTATAGAGAAAGGATAGTCCCTATCCTTAGGATTAGGTTTAGATCTCTTATTAAAGAAAAGCTCTTATAAAATAAATTTACCTTTACCTCTGCCTTTATCTTTACTTTATATTCCTAGGGCACAGACCCCTATCCTTAGCCTACCTATAACTAGCCCTCTACCTACTAACTTTCTTATTCCTATATCCCTAATTTTTTAATTATTTAACCTAATCTATCTAAAATCTAGTAAGTATTTAATCTATATAATTAAGTAGTTACTAATCTAAATTAGAACCTTTAGCTATACTAGTACTAGTACTACTAGGAGTCTTACCTATTGCTTATCGCGCTCTCTATATAAGAGCTATTAGGGCTCTAGCTAGGGGCAAGTTTAATAACTTTAACTTTAAGTTAAAGAATTCTAAGAAGTGCTAGTACTATATCTCCTAGAATAAGTATTGCAATCTAGTAAGTATCTAAGTCTAATAGGGTTCCTTTACTAATTCTAGTAGATTCCTTCCTTTATTAGGTAAGCGTACTCTACCCTTAGGGGTGCTCTAGATAAGTTCTATAGCCTAGTAGCAAACCCTACTAAAGGGGATAAGGATAAGGAAGCTATAGTTACTTATTAGAAGGATATTAAATTATTAAAATACTAAGGAACTCTAGGCCACTAAGGAATATATACAAGAGCACCTATAGAAAGGTTTTATTAAGACTAGTTAGAGCCTATTTGCCTCTCCTATCCTGTGTGTTAAGAAGCTAAATAGAGGCCTTAGGATCTGTATAGATTACTATAAGCTTAATAGCTTAACGCGAAAGGACGTGTATCTAATACCCTATATAGATAATCTTTTTATCCTAGCTAGCTAAAGCAAAAATCTTTACAAAATTAGATATGTATGCTACCTTTAATAAGATCTAAATAGACCCTAACTTAGAGGAATACACTACTTTCTACACTAGGTATAGTACCTATAAATGCAAAGTCCTACTATTTAGGCTATATAATAGACCTGTAATCTATTAGTGCTATATAAATAATATACTAATAGATTATTTAGATAACTTCTATATTACCTATCTAGATAATATCCTTATCTACTCTAAAGACCTTGCTACTTATAAGGACTATATTTAAAAAGTCCTTAAGCGTCTTTATTCTACTAGATTATAGGCTAATATTAAGAAAAGCAAATTCTATATAACCTGTACCTGTTACCTTAGATATATCCTTACTAATAGAGGCTTAGAGGTAGATCCTAACAAAGTTAAGGTACTCTAAAACTAGTCTGCTCCTAAGATAATAACTAGAGTAAAGTCCTTCCTAGGATTTACTAGATTCTACTAGCAATTTGTGGAAAACTTCTCTAAGATAGCTAAGCCCTTAACTACTCTCTAGAGTCCTGCTACCCTATTTGTATAGACTTTAGAATACTAACAAGCCTTTAACTAGCTTAGGAATGCCCTACTAGTAATCCTAAGCTTAGCTTACTTCTATCCTAAGTACCCTCTAAAACTAGAGATAGACGCCTCTAATAGAGTTATTGTAGCTATCCTCTTATAGGAGCATCCTAATAGGAAATAGTACCCTGTATCCTTCTTTAGTTAGACCCTTACTAGTTCTAAACTTAACTAGGAAATCTATAATAAAGAATTATTTGCAATAATCTGCGCCTTTAAGAAATAGCGTGCTAACCTAATAAGTACTTAGCACCTTATTAGAGTATACATAGACTACTAAGCACTAGAGTACTTTATATCTACTAAAGTCCTTAGTGCTAGGCAAGCTAGATAGCTAGAGGTTATAAGTCCCTTTAACTTCTAAATTAAGTATACTCCTAGATCTTATAACGCCTAAGCTAATATCCTAAGTAGAAGGGAATAGGATATAATTAACCTTAAGACTACTTAAAGGGATAATTGTTTACAAGTAATAATCGCCCTAGATAGGTTACACCCCTAAATTAACTCTAACTTAGCGCAAGACTACCTAGCTAAGCGTTCCTTACTAATCCTTGCTTTAATTATAGCAGTTTAGAACCCTATAACACTTAGATCCCTAGAACTTCTTAAAACTCTTCTCTAAGAAAATAGGTCCTTATTCCTAATAGAAAGATTAGAGTTGCCTAAGCACTATTAGATAGAAAACAGACTCCTTCTCTACTAGGATTAACTTTGCGTGCCTGCTAGATTAGTCCTATATACTAGACTAATTCGTAAGGCTTATAATTAAGTGTCTACTACCTACCTATTAGCTACTAAAACCTATTAGATTCTAGCCTAATATTACTACTAGAAAGGTATAGAGACTACCTGTAAACGCTATATTTAGAATTGTATCCTGTGTAGGAGAGGGCACCTAAGATAGCACTAACTCCCTAGCATGCTCTACCCCCTTCCTATCCCTAGTCTACTAATAAAACACCTGTGCATTAATTTTAAGGATTTTCCCTAGAATTAATATAGTTATAATTAGATTATAGTTATTATTAATCGCCTATTAAAGCAAGCTATTACTATCCCTTGCTACAAAACTATAGACGCCTAAGGTATAGCTACCTTATTTATATAGTAGGTGTACTAATTTAGACACACTCTAGATACTATTATTTCTAATTAAGGCCCTTAGTTTGTATCTAGTTTCTAGTCTAAGTTCTATTAGATTATAGGCACTAAGGTTAAGCTCTCTACTACCTACTATAAATAAACTAATAGACAAACTAAGATTATAAACAAGTATATTAATTAGAGACTAAGGCCTTTTATATCCTATTACTAGGATAACTAGAGTAAGCTACTACCTATAATAGACTGTGCCTAAAGTACTCTACTATATTTATCTATTAGTATAGCTCTATATTAGCTCCTCTTTAGCTCCCTACTAAAGGAAAGTTAGTATTAGAAACTAGAAAAGACCCTATCTACTATACTAGAGAAACTAAACTATAAGGACGCCTTATCCCTTGCTACTTAGATACACAACGCCTAGAAGATTACTAAAGAAAATATAGAAAGAGCTTAAGACTAAACACGCTCTACTACTAATTACTATTACTATCTAGTTAACTAGAAGGTTAGTAACTATATTTATCTATCTACTACTAATCTTGCTATTTCACGACCTAGCTAAAAACTATATAAACGCTAGGAAGGTCCCTTTATAGTATTAGAACAAGTAGGAAACGTGTATTACCTCTAATTACTACCTAGTTCTAAGATTTATAACGTTTTCTCTTATAATATACTATATAAAGATCCCTAAGACCTATTACCTAGATAAGAGGCTCTAAAACCCCCTAGTACCCCTATATAAGGTATAGAGGAATAAGAGGTAGAAGAAATCCTAGCTAGCAAATTATATTAATCTAAGCTATAATATAAGGTTAAGTAGGTTAGATATAATCTTAATCCTATTTAGTATCCTACCTCTAACCTTATAGGAGCTCCCTATAAATTATAGGTATTCTACTAATAGTATCTAAATTAGCTAGGTCCCCTACGCAGCTTACTAAAATAGATTTAAGCCTAGGAAAAAGGTAAAGAGGATATAATATTACTTTATTACAATTATACCTAATATTAGGACTAATTTACATCCTATTTAGCTATATATTATAATTCAACTACTATTTATTACTATTATT